CCCCCTCTCTCTCTCTCTCTCTCTCGCACACACACACACTCCTTACTACTCCCGCGCGCACGAAACAGGGGTGCCGAGTGGTGAGCACGGAAGACATTCCCTATCTCAGCTCAATGTCGAGGAAACCGACGGCGGCGACGGCGACTGAAGGGGGGCCGCAGAATGTAGGAGCCGGTGGCGGCGGCGTCGGAGTGGGTACCCCGGTGCCCATGTTCGACCCAGATGTGGTGGAGCTCAACGCCACCATGCTGCTCCGATTCCTGCAGGTGTGATACGTTGGTGGTCTACTTGCCTACCAGTTGTTGCCTGCAGACGGCAGCCGTCGGCCTGCTATTTGATGTACGCTTTCGTTGGAGCAGCAAGAGAGGACCGTGAAGAGTCTTGTCAAAACCTGTTATGACGGGCACGAAGTGTTTTTATTTAGTCTGTTTGGAGCGAATGCCCACAAAAATGTGCCGTAGACGCTTCGTGTGTCACCGCCCTGTCAAGACGAACGCGAAAAGGTTTTCCGGCCGATGTCACGCTCGCTGTCGCCGGTGCTTGGCGCGGCAACCAGCCGCGGTATTCCGAGCCACTTCCACCGCTGACTGCCGGTTACCACATGGTTCATTTCTGTTGTGTCGTCTTGTGCCGCACCAGGAAAACTGTTCGCGGGAGGGAGGGACGTACCTGTTGCATCGGAGCGAGGGGGCGGCGCACGTCCAGGTAGGTTCTCCGATGCTCCGGCACAACGGCCGAATACTTTTTTTTTTTTCTTGTTGCTGTGCGCTCGCAGAGCAGCGAGAGCTTGTTCGCTGTGTTGGAGGTGTTGGAGCTACAACGATGCTTCGAAGTACGTGTTTTCCTGGGGGGAGAAAAGCTCGCCGAGTTTCCTTTTCCCTTGCATGTTCGTTCGAGATCCCGGCGGCTTGCCGTCGCAGGAAGCAAGCGCTATTGGGGGGAGACGACTCGCGAGAAGCGGGCTTCCCGACGAAATGTTAGATGTCTGGCGGGGCGCTAGTATCACAGCAGGTTGCCTGGCAATTCCGCCTTTTGTTGCCGGCGCTACAGCTGTAGCACTTCGTGAGCCGGCGGGTGGCTTCGGACCCAAAGAACGGCCTCTGTTTGAACATTAGGGGGCAGGGATGTGGACTGCGCGCTTGTTTTTTTGCCCTGGTTTGATCAGCTAGTGGCGTGCTCAGGAAAGCTTGAGCAAGGCCTTCTGTGTTCCACTGCCTGTGGCCGCGTGAGAGCAAAGCGGTACTCCCATGTCCGTGGCCCGTCGGTCGGTTGTCGTGCGTGTATGACCGGAGCCCGCCCCAAGCACATCACTCCACTCTTGGGCAGGACTAGAGCAGCACGTCTACGTGTCGCCATACAGCGAACCCTCAAGGTCCCTTTCAGCCGAAGCTGTTGGGCATAGTCTGAAGTGCGTGTTGTGTAGCGATGAGTATTTAATATCCTCGTTGTTGTGGTTTTTACTTGTACCAATGGTCCTCTCCTTGTCTTGCTCCCCTTTTATGCATTCGTGGACAGCTGTACGACGTGAGTGCTCTCAGCAGGCAGCGGCATCGACGGTGGAAGGTGCGTCGTGGTAGCTTTGATTTCGCCTTGTTTGCGACTGTGAATCCGAGCAAAGAACAGCGCTAAACGTGCTTGCGTTCGACAAGAAGCTTCTGCTTGTACAGCAGCAGGCAGCAACAGCAGAGACTGCCCCGGTGCCTAATTTGCCATTCAAGATTTGGAGGCACAACAGTAGCCAAGCCTAGACTATCGCTCGCACGGACGTTGGAGTCTTGAGCCCCGCAAATTGTCGAAAGACGTTCGGTGCTCGCGGCCAAACTCCGCCCTCTTGACGAGCACCCCAGCGCTTGACTTCCGCCTACGGTCACACAGGACTCAAGCACCCCCACTCCCGTTTGGCTTTATTTCCGCTTCTTTGCCTGGCTCCCTTTCCCCGCCCTCTCTTTCCCACTCTCTAGTGGCTCCTCGCCATGCTCTGCTACCGGTTCGCGCTTCGGATATCTCACCACACGCGGCGTCAATTTTGGGGCCGCGGAGGTCGACCGGCGGCCGGCAGGGGCTCAGGGGGGGGGCGCACGGGAAACGACCCGGGTACGTCTTCGTCGTCTTCCGACTTCGAAGCCCGCGGCCCCCTTGATGTGAGCCCGAGCGCCGGTCCGGAGGTGGTGCGGCTGTTGCAGCGGCGGCAGCGGCAGCTACTGGAGAACTCTCTTGAGCTACTGGAGGTGTGTGTGTGTGTGGGATGTGTGTGTGACTTTATTGCTTGCATCGACCGCACTGGTAGCCGGCCGACCAATGAAATACGTCCGTCTTGTAGCGGAATAAGCAACATGATCTCTTTCTAAACTCTTGTCTGTGTGTCATAATTTTCGGCATCTACCGCGCTAACCGGCCGGTGGTACGCGAAGGAGGCTGTAACCTCGCCCAGACCGACCCGCACACCCGCTTTCGCAACCGCCTGATCACCATCGGCTATTGGTTTTGTCATAAAACCTAAACCAAACTGCACAGGAACTTGCCGAGCTAGGCGGTGGGGGGCACGAGACCATCTGCGCTTCGGTCCAGGAGCACATCGCCGACACGTACCTGGGCACCCACGGAGCACTCCCAAGGCCTGGCTGCACCAGCACCAGCACCAGCACCAGCACCAGCACCTCACGCGGACATTCTTCATCGGGGGGGGGCACGGCTAGCACCCAAAAGGCTGGCGTTTGGACGGCAGACTCGGGAGGCGAGGTCTGGACCTCTCCGCCTCCCCTGCGCGCACCGGGGGCAGTCGCGGGTGGTAGTGGCGGCAAGACAGACGGGGCCGCGGCGGGGGCGGCGGCGACGGCGGCGCAGAGAAGGAGTAGACACGAGGGCCACGGTTCGCGCAAGAATAGAGCGGTGAGAAAGAGCGGCGGCGCCGAGGGCAAGGCGGGAGGGGGTGCTCACCCCGGGAGTGTGCGGATCGGCGGAGGCGGTGATGGTGACGGTCGTGATGAGGTTCTGGACGAAGAGAGGGGCCGTGCGGACATGGACGAGACGGGCGAACGGGCGAGAGAGGAGAACCTGGATAGAGCGCAGGTGGGAGCTTTTTTGCTTTTTTGTTTGTTTTGCCCTACGGTAGGCACGGGAGACGGCTACGTTTCATCCACACCGCCGTGCAGACTAGCGGTCACTCTGAGGTAACGAATCGGCTATCGTCCCACAGTCCTGATGGTGGACCCTTTTAGCGAGAATCGCGACTACAGCAGTATCGAAGGAACAGCGTGAGGCCAACACGCCGCACTTTCCATCGTCCTGCATGCTTGCTGAGAATCGGGCCAGCTCAACCACAAGGCAAAGCAATTGCGAGCTAGCCGTCCTGCCCGCGCCTCTTGTCCACGCTTACGTTGTCACCATACCCCCCCCCTCCCCCCCCCCCC